CCCTCTGTAAAGATTGGTTGAGCATGGATTGTTGGACGGGCATATTTCTACGTCTATTCCCCCTCCCTTCTAAGTCCACACGAGTGAGAGATGATCGGAAGGAAGGAGGATAGAGGTCAGTTAGAATGAAACCAAGAGAAGGAACGTGGAGGAAATGGATGGCCGATCGAGGGTATTATGGGAAAGAGGTACTTACGAATGGGGAGGTAAATTAGGGAGACCTTGATGAGGGGTCTGAAATAATTCTCATCTAGGATAATGGTTGACCTGACCAGAAGGACCGGTTGGTACTCTTTTATGAAAACAAGGGTCAGGTGCTGAAACAAGATGGCACGATGGTTGCCTTCCCCGATCTATACCAGCGGCCCGAAAATGCCAGTAGATGTAAAGGATGGGGTATTGGTCGTCCTCCCGAAAGATGGAGCGTGGACGGACCTTCAACTAGCGTATCAAACAACAATGCTGGAAGGGGAGGGCGCGTTTCTTTGGATAGAAACAGTATGGACTAATGTCAGTTTGACAAGGTTGTCGCCAAGCTTAATGGATTTGGAATTCTGAGGGACGGTGGAAGCCCGGGCGTGGGTCTACTTGTCACAGGATGGGGAGAATGCTATGGTCATAGAATTGGCACTCGGGAATACGTCGGACGAGCTGTTTAGGAGGCAGAAGCGGAGGTTGTGTGAGATGCGTGTTAGTGGAGGGAAATGGAAATGGAAAGGATAGACGTGCGGGTGGAACTTGGGGATAGAGGGAGCATGAGGCGACCCGTCAGAACCATGCGATGTGTGCTGCCTCCCTTCCTGGTGGATGCGGTTTTCGGAACCCGGAGCCGGCTAGTACGGATATGCCAGTCCATGACGAACCTCGGACTATACCAGTGCGCTAGGCAAGACTTCTTTCGGTTGTCAGTGGAAATGGGGCCGTTTGAGGGGAACTGGGCGGACGAGCTGGCCGAGATACTAAACTGCCTTAGCATAGACAATGTCTTTGTCTCTAGCTCCGTGCATTGGGAGATAGTATAGAAATGTAGCAATAGGGGAGACATTTCTGGAAGGGGTAAAAGAGTTGTTCCACGACGAAGAGGATGACTTCAGTGATGAGGACGAAGATGATGAGATAGAGGACTGGGACTTCTAAGGAGGGTGACTTGACCTAGGGGGAACGGGTGGCCTGGTGTTGTGCAGGAAGAGGAAAGATGACTAGAGAGGAAATGATGATGGAATACACCTTCAAGGGATGGGAACCAAGGCGACTCAGGGGAGGGATAAAAATGCCTATACCAACGGAAAACGAGTGGAGGCGGACCACGTGCGACTGGGTGGGGTTTGAGGTTGCCCGAGAATTATCATATGTATGGATAGAACGGATTTGGAACCCAATAAGGGAAGAGAAAGGTTGGGACGAGATAGCAGAGGGCAAAGTGGAGTCCGTCGGAACGATTGTCCTTTTCGAAGATGGGTGGCACCTATTTTCCACTACTTTAGCAATGGGACAGGATCCGATGTGGCTTCTAGGGGATGCTGAGGCGCGAACCCGAAAAGAAGGCAAGAGGTTCGCCAACGAGGGGTGGGACGAAGTTAGTAGCAGGGTTGTGATGGGAGGATGGAGGGAACTCAAGCCTCCCTGCCTGCGCACAACGACATGGGTCCCGGAGTTCGTGACCGACTGGTTCGAGGGATTCGAGCACATAGCAGACGTGGCCGACTCCATGAGGGAAGTGCACATAGAATGTGCCTGGTTGACCAACGAATTTTATAGGATGTCCTTAAAATATGGGCCCTTCTACGGCGATAAAGCCAGTGAAGTCATCACCGTCCTGAGGATAGGTAAGTACAACCGCCTAGAGGTAGCCGAGAGGCGGCGGCCTCGCCATCCTATGTGGATGATGTCTTTACACTGTTTGAGGTACTCTGGTTCGAATAGAGGGACCCAAAAATCGAACACCGCAGGGAGGTCGGAGTATGGAGGGTGCAGGTGAATTGGGATGTAGCATAAGAAAAGGGGGCATGTACATTAGTTAGCAGGGGATGCGAGGGGGTCGAAACAAGGAAGGTAGCAACACCAAAAGGGGGAGGAAGACTTGTACGTGTATGGGGCAGGGATGGCAGCAAGAACCCGTGTACGATAGGTAAGGAGAGTTGAAAGACTAAAGCACGAAAGGCATGGAATCTCGGTGGGTGCAGCAATCGGACTAAGGAAGCCGGAAAGGAGACATTCCAAGATGGCCCGATGAATGACATTCTAGGAGGATAGGCCTCGCGGGATCCTACCACCAAGAGCATCGGGGAGTAGGGTCGAAATAAGCCTGCCAGCAAGAAACGTGGTAAGTAATCCGGTAATGGACTGGGTGGGGGTAAAACTGGTGGAAGACACAGTGTACCTAGTAGTAGAGCTGGAGGCGTGCGAGAGGAGAATTCAGAGGCATAAACTTGGAACTCCCGGGGTGCATGCATGCGACGAGATCCTTACACCTGTCGGAAGAAGGATGGCGGACTTCTGGGATTGCCTTGGCTTCCGGGGATGACCCCGTGCGAATGTTCGAAGGAGCATGGCAAATAACCTGGCGGGAGGGGTTTTAGTTCACGGATCCATAACAAGATGACGTGACGGTTGAGGTAAAAGTTGCTGCAGCACGGGTCTTTGAATTGCCAAATGAGGTCGTACGATTGTGTACCACCCTTTTTACTAAGACGAATGGGAGGCGTAGAGCGAGTGGAGCAGGCAGTAGCTGCCGTAACTAGGCTAGATTTTGACGAAGCATTAATGTATCAAGAATACTACCGGGCCTTCCTAGAGATGGGGCATTTTGGAGACGAACAGGGGCACGAGGTGCTTTGTATACTACAAGCGGCGGTAAATACTAGGCCAGGAGTTCCGCGGATAAGTAATGAGGCTATTGGAGAATCATCCGGCGGGAAGTAGGTCGGGGCGCGACCTACATAGATGACCTTTACCGGTTGTACGAACAACCGGAGGAGGTTGCAGCTCCTGGGGATATGGAAGGGTAGTCGTACCAGAGCAGAAGAATGAAAACATGAAGGGTAAAGGGGGCAGTAGGTGGACGTTTACTGAGGATTGGTTGTAACCCTTTCTATGTGGACTATGCAGGGAATCACCAACGCAACAATGGCAGCAAGACATGTGCGAATGGAACGCCAACCCCGTGTGCGAATGGAACGTCAGCCCCGGTACCCCGGACCGCCCTAGAATAACGGTGGGCGATGGGAAGTGTCCCTCCCGTCAAATCCCAACTTTCGGGGGTTCGACACGGAATGGCGGGCCGTGACCCTAGGAAGAGATAGCGCCTTCATGTTGGTGGAATGTCGATGGACGGGGATGAGACTCAACCGAGGGCCTGGGGACGATTTGTTCGCCAATTTGTAAGTAATCGGGGTCCTATACCTACCCGAGGTTGGCTGACACTTATTGGGAATAGGGATAGTGCAAGGCCACGAGTTAGCTCCAGTTTTTCGAAGGGCGGCCCGGGCATTGACGCGGATAGGACAATCGGTCAGGGGTAGAAGAAACATGGATTTGCTTACTACAGTGGAAATGGGGGTTTGGAGGGAGTTCAGGGCACCAACCACACCGCTGAGGTGTCGAGTCCCCCGGTTTATGGTAAACCTCATTTTCGGGAGCTGCGCGAGGGCACAAGCGTTGGCAGACTCAACGATAATCTGGGTAGACCACTTCCCCTTTCAGACCATCTGGATGTTCTACGATGTTTCCGTGGAACATGGGCCGTTCTGGGGAAACAGGGCCCATGAGTTACTGGAAGTCATCCATATTCTGATATTTGGGTTGCCGCGACTAGCCTGGGCGGATTACGAGCACATAATCCTAAGAGAGATCGAGATAGGAGAGAGTTATTTAGCAGGGGTGACTCAACTATTCGAGGAGCCTACCGAACCAGAAGGGCCACGGGGGCAAGAACGGGACTAGCCTCCGGGGACGGGCCAATAGGGCAAATTAAGTATAAATCCGCCGATGGAAATGAGGAAGGGCCTCAGACCCGGACGACCAAAAACCACTAAAGAATAAAGGGGGGAGGGGATAGACTCCTAGTGGTTGCCATGACCCCGAAGGTCAAAAAGGGGAATGCTGCTCGGGAAAATTTCCCTAGCGGGATGCCTAACCCGGACTCCTACGCACCGGCCGGCTGGACAAGAGCACTCTAAATGAGCCTGTGATAAAGGAAACTAAGTCACGCCCTTAGCTCGGCAGGGCAGCAGGGCCAGTCGTGGCTCCTCCTTAGGGAATGCAATCAGGAAACGGAAATAGGGAGAAGGCTATTTCCCGAATAAAAGTGAGCCAACAAAGTCTGAACCTAGGGAACCTAAATGCCTCGCATTGCGTGTGTCCTGGGGAATGCTTTGGTTTATGCAGAGCTAGGCAAAATGGCGACAGAGGATGAGACGGATAACCATAAGAGCGAAGGAGGACCGGGCTTAGGAGGCAGTGCCGTACAAAGCGAAGAAGGGCGGAAAGACACAGAATCGATAAATCCGAATGGTACCAAAGGGAACCGGAAGGAAATCTGGTCAGGGGAAAGCTCGGGGAAAGTCGGGGGAAGCAGGCAAGGGACTTAGGAAACCAAGGAGGGCAGGAATAAGGATAGGACAAGCCCCCGGATTTCGGAGGGAGCTGTGTCTAAGAAAGTAAGGGTTACGGATGCGAGGCACAAACTAGCAGAAATAGAAAAAAGGACCGCGGAGTACAAGGCAAGATTGATCGAGGAAATGATGACTGGGAACGAAGAAGGCCCTCTGCAGGAGGAACCGAGGGACGAACGAAAGACCAGCCGAGGCAGAACTAGACAAGGGGATAAAGGTAGTGACCGTGGGGGAACGTCGAGCAAGAGGAAAAAGAGAGAGAGCTCCCCGGGGTTGGAAGCAAAGAAAGCCACAAACCCGCCAGCCATAGATAGTAGGGCTAGCCGCCTGCCGACCACACCAGCAATCACGCGAGGATGCGAGGGACTTTGGAGCCTTAGGGAAAGGGTGTTGGGATGGTTCGACCCAGAAGGAACTGCGAAGACCAGAGAGGGACAGAAGGCCGGCAAGGAAGGGCCGGATACCAGTATGGCAGGCGAGGCCAGTAGCTCCGAAGGCGGCCTTAGGAAAATAGTATCATCCCTTACGCGAGCACTGAATAAAAACCAAGGCTACCTAGCGGACGCTAAGAAAAACTTGACGTTCGATGGGGCGAACATCACGGAGTTCCTGATCGATTATGAGAACCTAGCTGCGCTGTTGAAATGGACCGAAGAAGAAAAGATGGACAACCTGGGGCAGCATGTGTCTTTGAGCTTGGGACGGGACATAATGGCCATCGTAGCCGCAAGCCGATCCTGGAAGGAAACCCGGGATGTGATGATGAGAAAATATCTGGCAGCAGAGAAGATGGCGACGGAGGCCGATTTAGCGGCAGTCCAGAGGAAGAACTTCGCAACGTACAATGACTTCCTACAGGAGTTTACTTTGGTAGCACTAAGGATCCCCGGGGTTACGGACCGAATAATGAGTGAGTACTTCCTCAGGCAGTTCTCCGAGTTCGACAAGGACAAGATCCTGTCGGCTTACCAACAGACGAGCAAATTCGTAAACACTAGGGACATTGATTTCAGTACGGTAACGGATCTGGCCGAGAAGATGGTAGTGACTGAGACATTGGCCTTGCTTCAGGAAGGGGAGGTCATAGATCTGACCGGTAGGACAAGCGACAAGGTAAAGAAGGGGATTGAAAGTCTGCATGAACGGGAGTCGACAAGAAAATTGAAAGGGTGGAGAACGCGCTACTGGTTATGCAGGCGCAAGTATCCCGGCCCGCCCTCCCTCCCCAGGAAGCCGTAGTTCCGCCAGGTGTAGCCAATCGAGGGTTTGGACGGAGGGATCCTGCTAACGAGCAGTGTAGGTACTGCACCGCGATGGGACATTATGTGCGCGCATGTCCAAAACTCAACCATGATATATTAAAAAGGAGATGTACCAGGTCGTTAAAGGGAGAGATACTCGGACCGCAGGGAGAACGGGTGAATTGGAACTCGCCAGGGGGGATGCGACGGGCCGTTATCATGCTCAATGGGCTAGAGATAGCAGCCGTAGAAGCTGAGCCGGTGGTCGAAATCATCTGGGATCAACTTCGGGGCCGCGGGCCGCAGGTCAACTTCATTTTGGAAAACGACGGACGTGATAGGGTGAACGCGACTACTCGGCTAGGGACGGCTGGGAGAAGGATTATCCGTGACACCGTGATGGAGGAGGTTGCTGGGAGTTCCGTACCCCAGGCAGAACCTGAGGCCGGGGAACCGGAGAAAGTCTATGGGAAGCCTAGGGAAGAGGAACCCACAGACAAAGTTGCCGCCGCCAAAAAGAAGTTTAGGTATCAGATTCCGATCTTAAGCATACCAGAGGTCGATGACACCCTTAGCAAATTGCTAGGGACCATGGTGTCGGTGTCATTTCACACCATGCTGCAGGCCAACCCTAGGTTGCTCAAAGGTCTTAGACAACTGTTGACTCGGCGACGAGTAGAGATAGACGAAAACCCCGAAGCACCGAAAAAAGAAAGGGAGGAGGAAGCCCCGCAAGAGGTCGCTAACCTTCGGAGGAGTAGCGGGGATTTAGAGGATCTTGAGAAAGCCTTTGCAGACATCCGTTTGAGCTTGCCCGACCGAGAGGGCGGCGAGGTCATGAGGGCACCACCCGGGACAAAGCTTAGCTTTCATGCACTGCCCGTAGGGAAGCTGAAAATCCAGATCGGGACTCATTATACCGACGCATTAGTAGACGGGGGAGCGGAAATCACTCTCATAAGGAGGGATTTCACAACAATCACAGGTTGTACAGTAAATAAGGAAGTAACAGGGAGCATCCGGGGAAATCCCGTTCGCAGGGTACGTCACGAAGTGCGCAGTAAAGGCAGGAGGTCGATCTGGTCGTTTTAGCGGATGATCGTAATGGAGGAAATGGACCACGACATAATCCACGGGAGACCGTGGTGCGCAAACGTAGAAATGATAGGCATGCTCTTGCACGACGGCTCATACATGGTAGACATAGAGGACCCAGTGACCGACGGGGGAGAGCTCCTCCGACTCCTTGGAACGGGAGAAGACCCTCCAAAAGGGAAGTTGGCAACGTGGTCGCCGTCGTTCGAAGATAGCACACGAAAAGGGGCCTTTGCTCGAATGGAGGGCATGAGAGAGAGGGTAGAGATCATGATCGAGGAGGCCTTCAATAAGAAGGAATGGATCAAGATGGGCCTGCCCCAGAAGAAGAGGAGGCAGGAGGACGAAGTCCTAGATGTTATGGTAGCAGAAAAGGAGTCAGAAGTCGAACTTGGTGCCAGCCTGCCCAAGCGGAAAGAAGTACGCATGGACGTGCCAGAAGTCGCGCTCGAGATCCCCGATTTGTTGCAGCTCATCAAGGCCCTCAGATACCACAAGGTAGGAGTAGACTCGGCGGCCCTGGCCAAATTCGAAGGAGAGGTGCAAAAAGGGTATTGTCTGAATGGGAAATTAGTTAGTATTCAACCACGAGTCGTAGAAGCAACGAGGGCAATTCCGACCGTTCATTTTTTAGCAGAAAGATACCGGAAGGAAGTCTTCGAAAGTACAAGCCGGTAGGGAAGAAAGCGAAACCGGTCTCGATCCTGCTAGAGACGTCAAAGGAAGAGGCTATGGAGGAGGAGGAGGAGGTCCTTCGAGTGATCGAAGAGAGAAGAGCGACGGAAGGGCATCGGATACCAGATGAGGTAGCTGACACAATGAAAATAGGGGTAGAAGGTTTCCTAACGGAAGAGGAAGATCGCCTGATCAAAAGGACCTGCCAAGAGTTTCACCTGGCATTTGCTTTAGTGATCATCAAAAGGGGCGACAGGATGCGAAGCTGATCCCTCCGGTCAGAATCCACACAGTAGAGCATGAGTGTTGGAACGATAAGGGTCCGTTCCATGAGTTTGGGATAGCAGGGGAAGTGACAGACCTTCTTCGAGCAAAGATGGACTCCTTCGTCGCAGAACCTACGGCGTCGCCATACGCGAACCGATGGTTCGTCTTTCAGTAGCCCAACAAAACACTGAGATGGATTTAGGATCAGCAGATGTTGAATGCGGTAACCATCCGGGATGCTAGCTCGCTACCTTAGGCTGATTTATTAGCAGAATCGCACGCCGACCGGAGCATTTACTCCTTGATCGACCTGTACTCAGGGTGCGACCAGCTTCCACTGGATGTCCGGGACAGGCCGTACACCGCAATGCACACCTCTTAAGGACAGTTGCACATGCAGGTGACCCCTATGGGCTTTACGAACGCGGTAGCCGAAGCGCAAAGGAGGATGCTCGCCGTAGCCGGAGATATGTTTCTTGAGAAGTGCGAGCCATACATCGATGATAATCCGATCAAAGGCGCGCAGGAGAAGGAGGAGACGGAAGTTTAGTCGGGAATCCGAAGGTTTGTATGGGACCATCTACAAGACATCAAGGACTTACTTCGTCGATTCCTAGAATACAACATCACGGCTAGTGGGCCGAAGAGTATTCTAGCAGTACCGGAAGTAACCATATTGGGATTTCGCTGTGGCGCGTACGGTAGAAAGTCGGATCTGGCGAAGACGGACAAGATATCGCAGTGGCCAACAACCCTGCGCACGACGACGGAGGTGAGAGCTTTCTTCGGCGTGGTCGACTTTTGGAGGAATTTCATTAAAAATTTTGCCAAGATTGCTGAGCCTATCTGGGCCATGATTAGAGAAGAGGGGACCATGGACTGGACGGAAGAGCAAGAAGGAGCCGTCCAAACGTTTAAGGACATATTGACCTCTGAGAAAGTCGCCTTGTCCGCACCTTGTTTTAATGACGAAGTGGGACGACCTTTCATCCTAGAGACGGATGGGGGACCTTTGGCCGTAGGGGGAGTACTGATTCAACAGGATGAGGAAGGAAAGGAGAGGCCGCTTAGGTTCGAAAGTAGAACCCTGAACTCCGCAGAGCGGCGGTACTCACAATTCAAGAAGGAGGTCCTAGCCATCTTGCACTGCCTTAAGACCTTTCAGGCCTACCTATTTGGGAGGAGGTTCACCCTTAGGATCGATCCGACAAATGTCGCAGGGGCCCTAAAGAATTACAGGCCTATAGATCCGACGGTGGGGAGATGGGTAGAATTTATCTGGCGGTTCGATTACAAAATCGAACGGATTGCGGGAATTAGGAACAAGGTTGATGGACTGAGTCGGGTCTGCATCACTCCCGACAGGGTGGAGGATGCAAAACCCGTAGACGCATTCCTCGAATACGAAGGAGGAACTCTTGCGGTGGATAACGAAATGATGGGCGAAGAATGCGCGTCGGAAGAACTATTGATCCGGACTTTGGAGAAGGGGGTGCCTGCCATAGTGGCGGAACTTAGAGAAGGACCAGTCACCACTCGGGGCCGTAAAGAGGAGAGAGATTCATGGGGAGCGATAGTAGGGCCGAGGGAGGAATTAATAACAATGGCGGTTGAGGGAGGCCGGGAAGCTGTGATGAACTTAGTGGAATCCTGGGAGAGGAAAGAGCTGCGATGGATGGTAAACCAGATGCAGGAAAGAAAGAATGAGGACCAGGAAGGGAAGGAGTTTTTCTACGCTCAGGTATACGAAGGGATCTTTCGAGAAATTGGGTTGTTGTTGGTAGGATACAAACAACCCACGGAAGTCAGCGTTAAAGCAAGGGAGGAGGCCGAAAGGTACATCCTAAGGCGCGGCCATCTGTTTCGAAAGGAAGAAGGTGCTATGCCTAGAAGAGTTGTGTGCTGAAGATCTAGGCAGTTGGACGTTATCCAGGCAATGCACGACGGATTAGCAGGAGGACATCGGTCGTCCAAAGGAACTCTTGCAAAAATAGCGCCACTTTATTATTGGCCAGGCATGGCAAGCATGGTTGCCATATACTTCCAGACATGCCTTATCTGCCAGGAACGAAGCTCGGCATGTGTCTTTGAGCCGCTTAGACCTACGCGGGTGCTAGGGTCGGGACATCTCGTCCACCTTGACCTTGCGGTCATGCCTGTATCAACAGATGGGTACAAGTATATTTTAGATGCACGAGAAAACTTGAGTGGGTTCGTGGAGGCGGTCGCTCTCAAGAAAAAGACAGGGAGAAGAGTAGCGGACTGGATAAAAGACTTCTACTTGAGGCATCCTTTCGTCAGGAGATTTGTAGAGGACAATGGGACAGAGTTTGTAAACCAAGAAGTATTGGGAATGCTTAAGAGACTCTGCATACCGATCAAACTCATCGAGCCATATCACCCAAAAGCCAATGCACTTGTGGAAAGAGGCCACCGGACCTTAAAGAACACGATTGCGAAGCTCACGGCGGATCATCTGGGAAGTTGGCTGAGGTATCTCAAGCAGACTGTCTTCTCAGAGAACATGATACCTAAGAGGACAACGGGATGTATCCCAGCGGAACTTTGGTACGTTAGGGAGATCGACTTTCCCGTTGAGGCCTTGATACATACCTGGAACATGTTAGATGATGATCCACGAATGACCACGAAAGAGTTAATCGAGGCAAGATATCAACAAGTCCTTAAGAACGAAGAAGTCATGGAAGACATCGCCAACCGGGTACTAGACAGCAGAATGAGGGACAAAGCAAGGTGGGACCAGGTTAAGAATCTCAGAAAGGAGCCACTTCAAGTGGGGGAGATGGTATTGCTAAGGAATTCCGCACTAGAAAGTACTTGGTCTGGACAACTGGGGAGGAGGTTCAAAGGCCCCTACCGGATTGCCAAGCGGGTGGGACTGAACACCTTCGAACTGGAAGATTTGGATGGAACTGGATTGAAAGGGCCCTTCCCGAGGCAACGTTTGGTCAGGTTTCTAAGTCGGGACCCGGTGGAACAATGGCTGCAGGAGGCCGGAGATAAGGAAACTGAGGGACAACAAGTTAAGGACTGGCAACGGTCATGCCTGCACTATGGTTCAATCTCTGACTGCGCTCGTGGGACTGTCATTTTCCTTTTGGGGTTGGGGCAATGGGTTGGACTGACTGAGGTTGAAAGGCAGCATGACTTGGGATTTTGCGATAACGGGTTTGTGTAACGACGGGAAGGATTGGTGGGGCCATTGTATCATAGTTTTTGACGGGGAAACAATGGGATCATCTCAAACGGCGCATTTGCATACAAGGGAGTGGGGGGAAATGCATAAAAGGGGGGGCATGATGCGAAGGATACTGAGAGCATTCTGGGGAAAAGGGGAGTTGTCTACCGGACTGGGGGAACGGGTGTATGAGGGGCATTGCGGGTGTTGTTTTGTTATACAGGACTTAGAAGAAAAACGAGAAAAAGCAAGAATGAAATTCGGCAACGAGAATGACAGTGGGGCAATCAACAGGCCTACCGGAGGGGACGAAGCAGGACCAAGCCAACGGAGGAGGACAGCGAAGAGAAAGTTGTACATAGGGCTCATGGGCGGGCCGGTGGTAGGTAGGGGTGGAAAAAAGTGCGTATGTAGAAGACCCTCGCCCCTCTGCAAGGGAAAAGGTATAGAAATTTCATCTGACAGTGAGGGCGAGAAGGAAAGGGCAAATGTGGGAGAAGGGGGCAATGCCGATATGGGAGATAAGGCTCAGGCCTCTGCCGAGGAAGGAGCCGACAGGGGCGAATGACGTGAGGCTTGGCATGGGGAAAGCGAGGGGGGACAGGACATGCACGACGAGCGTGAGGATGGGGAGGAGAGAAGAGAAAGCCCGCTTGAAGGACGAAGCGGCAGTGGCAGTTGTGAGGGGTATGGGACAAGGACAGAGATTCCTTATACCTACGATCCAAAGAACCTAACGGGAGGATATAGCCCCATACAGACGGAAGACGAGGAGGACGAGGAGGAGGATGTGCAAGAGATCATAGAAATCAGCAGCGGGGATGAGAGGGATGAGATCTCCAGGCCTACGGAAGAGAGGCGGCCTCCAATGCACCAGCCGCGCGATGAGGCCTTCAGATGGGAGGATGAGTTTGGGCCAACGCCCAGCCATTGGTTTGAGCAGTAGCTCGGCGTAGTCAAGCATGAGTGGATTATCAAAAACCCGGGAACTCGCAAGGGCAGGGGTGGAAGCCACGCCGTTGGATTTTTTTAACGAGGCAGAACTACGAAAAATTGCAAGGATAAGAAGAGAAATCGAGACCTTCGGCCTGGGGG